GTTAACTTCACCAATACCCTGTGACTGCAGTTCAATTACTCACTCTCTATACACACATTACCTTCCCCTCTTTTATATACCAACCTACCCTATATCTAGTAAGAACTAGAACATTCGCCAATATACAGGATAATTCTAGAAAGTAGAGAGCGTGAGAATCACATAATCTCGATGACGCAACAGTATGATAATGTTTTAGCTACACACCTTTATGTATGTTCGCGCCACTACCAGTTTGTTTGTTTGTTTTTTGTAGTTAAGCAAAAAGCTACACAATGGGCTATCTGTGCTCTGCCCACCACTGTTATCAAAACCCGGTTTTTGGCGTTGTAAGTCCGCAGACATCCCACTGTGCCACTGGGGAGCGCCAGTACCAGTAAAGCAAAATGAGACTAAAATCATGATCAGTCTTATTGAGATGTAATGTCGCACCGACTACCAATCAAAAATTCACGCTTGTTTGTTTCTTGTTAAGCACAATGGGCTGTCTGTGCTCCGCCCACCTAGGGTATCTAAATCTGATTTTCAGTGTAATAAATCCTCAGATTTACCTCTTGGCTATCAGGGAGCAAAATATGATGCTTCGATAGCTTAGGCGTTGTAAATGTTATACTTGAACGAATTTCTCTTTCTTGAATATTCATAATTATTTTTTGTTTATTTTGGTTCACCCACACTTGAATATTTAATTTTTTTTCCGTCTACATTAATTTTTATTTATTAAGGTACTTCGCAGTACAAAATATCTTCTACTTTTTTATAATGTGTGTGTGTGTATGATTTTTGTTTGTTAATCGCAAAGATGAAGTGGATATCTGTGATCTGCTCACCGCGAGTATCGAAACATTATTTTTTGCGTTATAAGCCCCACGGAGTAATCGTTGAGCTATCGTGGCTTTAGTACGACATTTGGTATTTCAATGTTATTTTATAACTGTTTTACACGTATTTTTCTTTCTATTCTGTACATTTTAATTGTATATAAATAACCAGCAACACATTAATTTTGTTATTACGGTGTTTATTTTCGGTTTTATAAATACCTTTTTATACTTTAAACTGTGTTTCATATGCTATCTCCCAATATTTTAGAAAATTCTTGCTGGTTGAAGGTTACTTAAGCTGTTACTTGAAAGTGGGAATTTATTTATTTGTTTGTCGTTCAGAATTGACGGAAAACGAACATCACTGACCCTCTCCATACGAGAGCGGCGAAAAGAAACTTACTTGGAGTTTGGGTAGGTAATAAGACAGACAAACAGAAAGTGATACGTAAAGAGATGGGTGAAGACGACTCAAAAACGTCTTCAAGTCTGAACATGAACCAACATTTCTTGCACAAGTTTCAACACAGCCAGTCAGTTCGCCAACAGGTAGGTCTGTCTGAGTCATAAACATGTATTAAGTGGGAGTAATGCGAGAGTTACATCTGTTATCATATGATCCTAGTTGACAGTTAAAAGTTTTGAGTAAAAATGTAGTCCATACAAAGTTAATTAGTTTATTCTAAGGCACGTGTGAGTTATTTTCTAACCAGGGGTGGGATTTTTATTATTCTTCCTTCTCAAATTAATAATGATAATAATGTTGATTAGACTAATTAGCGATTGGTGTATGACTTTTTGTGTAGTAACGTGACAAGTGTTTGCCATCATTGAATGGTTCGCGATGAACATTACAGTTGCCTATTAACCCCGTTAACTGGTGATTTTACTTGTGTGAGTGTGCCTGTTTGTCTTCTAGGATACGCCATGACACGTGAAAAAGGTGTTAAAATTTGTTATTGGATTTTGCTATATTTACTATTTGTCCAATCTAGAATGCGATTGTATGTAAATAATATAATTTGCTAAGCCTGGGGTGTTAATCCAACATAATTTAATATAATTTTTATGTTCTTTAATGTGTGTTTAATGTTCGGCCTGTTTCACCATAAAAAGTTTCATGACATGATTTACAAGGAAGTTTATATATATTAGGTCGTCAAGAAATTAATGTCACGTTTTGGAATACTTTCATTAACCACCACCCCCAAACACGTACATCACGTATAATAGTTAAACGAACCGCCTAAACATCACGTTAGTTTAGCCTATATAATGTGTATTAACATAAAGTGACTCGACCTTAATGGCTTTTTGTACATTAAACATTCTAGTACACAGGCATACTAATGATTGTACCTTGTTTTTATTAATGTAGGAATTTTCAAAACTGTAGTCCAGAAAACCACTGAACTCCTTTTGTTCCTTTGTCTTTCTTTAGCTATAGTATCTACTTTGCCCAAGGTTATATTGATGCAATTTCGCATCTTGTGTAGAAACAGATCGATGACAGCAGTGTCCTTCACTGGCCGAGTAGATGATATCTCACTATGTTGTATAGGAATGACTATTCGCATGATAACGGGCGTCATTATGGGCAAATCTAACATTTCCTGTTTAATACGAAGTGTTCGATTCACATCAGTTTTATTTGGTCACCACAATGAATAGATCAATGGAGAAAACTGTTGATTGATTTATGGATCCTGTAGAAGGCGACTATCCAGTATACATGCACGTACCCACGCTGTATTTTTGCTTTGCAATATAATAAATATTGTGGTTCACTTTACATCATACTTCCAGTCTGTTTCGATGACGAGGAACCCACTTTGAGACTAATAATGGCTGGAGACGGCTTGAATGGGTAATGAAGAAAAACTTTAATATAAGTTTTTCTTCATTACCCATTTAAGCCGTCTCCAACCATTATTTCCAGTCTGTTTATTATCTTATCTTAAAGTCAGTGAAAAAGTTGAAGTCAAATTTTCTTAGCAACTTTCCTGATCGTTCCTTCTGTTATAAAGAGGACCTATCTGAAACTTGTGATAAAATCGATTTTATCTGATGATACCATACTCTATAGATGATGAATTATTCAGGTATTATATGAATACCAACTTTGCTGTTATACATGTAACCATGAAGTTATGCTAAATTCACCATGTTGTTATTCTTCTCGATTTCTAATGTTATTTTATTTTCGAGACAAAATACTCTGTAGCGTCTCATGTTGCTACCTTTTTTTGGAAATGTTCATGTTCAAGGCTTAATTTATAAATAAAAATAAGTGGGTCGGCAGTTTTTTATAATATTGCGCGTGCGCGTGATCTTTTATTTTATTTAATGGCCGTTTATTTTACAATGGAAGTTTCATAGGCTTTCTTACAAAGGGAAAAAAAAGTATTCCAGTGGGTCAATGGTAAGGTGACAGACTTACCACCCTAAAATAGAGGGTTTGATTTTCCAAGGTGAACAAATTTCATATAGCCTATCGCGTAGCTTTGCGCTGACACAAACAAACAATGAAGAAAGATTCTGGGTCGGTGACTTGGCACAACTACACTGAAATTAACAACTGAATAAATATTGAAGTTTATGACTTTCTCTATTTACTTATTTAGGTTATTTTTAAGTATAATTCAACCTACAAGAAATTTTATTTACTTTTTGTTTTCTGTAAAATACGATAAAATTTTCATCCCCAATAGAATAAAGAAGACGGTACACGACGCCAAGATGGTGGCAAACAGACCCGTAAAGTAGCTTTTCCGTCTAAGTTCAAACCTAGTATGGAAATTTATCGCCCTCCAGGTAATTACTTTCTGTATAATACTGTTAAACTTTGGTACTTATCATTACAATAGGTACTGCAATCACTTCATTCGATAAAATACTAACAAATATAACCTCAGTAAACAATATTTTGGTGTAAAGTCAAGTAACTGAAAATCATTTAAAGTAGTATCTTCAATTATGAGTTATCAGTAAATACCAAACTATTACTGATAGCTTTAATATAGTATAAAGAACAATTTTAAAACAATTATATATTTTTCTGCGGCTTTACCTATATAAACAACCTATTGATTGAATTATTCTGACGTTTTGTTGTTTTTGTTTTTTCCGAAATATATTATAAGAAAACTAAAGATTATACATCACGGAAAATCACCTGTATTTGTAATTGTAGTTTTTGAATTGCAAATATATTGTTACTAAAATAACACCATCATAGTCAATAATGATACTTTAATTTTCATTAAAAATATTAACTAACTATAGGTGTTCGTGTTGCTGGTGACATGACTAGTTTTATGAAGCAGATTCCAGCATCAGTAACCAATGGCCATTATATACAGAATGACATAATTAATACCACAAACATGGCGCCGCTTTCGGAGTCATTATCACAAAAAACAAATATTGGAAGCCCTAAAGTTCACTTTCAGTGTAGTCCCACAAAGTTCTCTGGCCATCGCTCTAGCACTCTCAAGCGGTCGAAGAGTTTCGGAGGAGCTGAGGTTATGGAGATGGCCGCTGCAGGATTTGATCGTGATGGCTATCCAATTGAATATCAAGGGCTTGTAAAAAAAGCTTTACAAGGTGAGGAACAAAGATTTATTATGATAAACACTTTAGTGTAGTACAAATTGATATTATTAAGGAATCTGTATAAAAAGAATGATACAACTTGTGTTATTTATATAGCAGATAAGGGAGACTACCTATATGTGTATGATTTATATAGTTCAGACATCTAAAATCTATATGACTGGTGTTAATTATATATAACATACTAACAGTTGTCATAAATGTTATCTTTCCATACCTTGTATTAAATATTAGAATTAAAAGAAATTGTGTTCCTGTACTTGTCATGGGAACCAGGTAAAGGTACTTCGTTATGACTTTATGAAATTCAACCCGATAGTTTATTATCCTTATGGTATATGTCAATGCAGGCAATTTCTGTCTCTACGCCTGCTTGACCATTTAAGCTGGCCTTGTGAGGTTACTGATCCTATTATCACGTGTAATAGACGTGTTACAAATATTGTTAGTTTGCTTGTGATTCACTGGAGAATTCTGTTACTTTTGGGTCGATTAAGTTTGGGAGTTCAACTTCAAAATGCTAAGCATAACTCGGCCTTATACTTCTGTGTATTTCTCTCGCACTCAAACCATCATCGCCTTTTCATTTCAGGACATTTTTATTATTCCAAGTCTTTTATTTTAACCTAGTAGAAATTCTTGGCTATAGAAAGACACAAACAAAGATTATTTGTGTTTGTCAAGTTTGTCCGACTCTTCCCTTCTCCGATATTTCTAACAATAACAGTCTAAGCGCATCCTTGTGATTAACATGCTGTGGGTTAAAGGGCCCAAAATTCGAGACTTGAGGCCAATGAAACATTCCTGACTTTAATTATGGGTGCATTATGAAGAATGTGACACTCGATCTCATTAATCGGTCCAAAGAGTCTTAGGTGGCGGATTCTCTCTCTGGTCAGTATATACATATATATACTTGAAAATTAAATTGAATACGAAAATGCTGATGTTGTTTTTTGTAGTTCGAATATTATGAACTAATTTTTTTTAGATATTAACGATGATGATGGAATTTAAGGAAATTTCGAAACGTCCGTATTAAAGATATTTTTTGGTATTACCGTGTTTTAATATTTATTATAAAACTTCATTTTCCACCTGATGAACTAACTATAACTATATAACTATAAATATGT